TCTGAAAGACTCAACTGTTATTGTTACTTTGGGGACAGCAGTAGTATTAATAAAGGAATAAAAGTTATTTTTACATCTTCATCCATAAATGAAAACAGTCACAAACTGTATATTAATATTTAATTTAAAATAACTCAATTTTAAAAATAAGTTTAAATTAACCTAATATTATTCTACTGCATGGAAGATCACACTTCATTTTGCTAACAGGATCTGTGCCTCTCATTTGGTGATTGCCTCCCTCAAGCTATTTCATTTCTTATCCCTAGACACACAAAACTAGTTTAAGGTTTAAAGGCCTCAATATGTAATTACTTTAATAGCATAGTAAGAATTTTTTATTTGACTAAATGAAGTAGTTTTAATTCCATCTCTGTGTTAATATTTATGGGTATATATATGGATATATATATATATATATGGATAATATTTATGGATAGTGGGGCTGGCACTGTGGCGCAGTAGGTTAAGCCTCAACCTGAGCATCTCATTATGGGTGCCAGTTCTAGTCCCAGCTGCTCCTCTTCCAATCCAGCTCTCTGCTATGGCCTGGGAAAGCAGTAGAAGATGGCCTAAGCACTTGGGCCCCTGCACCCACGTGGGAGACCTGGAAGAAGCTCCTGCCTGGCTCCTAGCTTCGGATCGGCCCAGCTCCAGCTGTTGCAGCCATTTGGAGAGTGAACTAGCAGATGGAAGACCTTTCTCTCTGTCTCTCTCTCACTATCTGTAACTCTGCCTCTCAAATAAATCAATAAAATCTTTTTTTTAATTTTTTTTTTTATTTTTGACAGGCAGAGTGGACAGTGAGAGAGAGAGAGAGACAGAGAGAAAGGTCTTCCTTTGCCGTTGGTTCACCCTCCAATGGCCGCCGCGGCCGGCGCGCTGTGGCCGGAGCACCGCGCTGATCCGAAGGCAGGAGCCAGGTACTTCTCCTGGTCTCCCATGGGTGCAGGGCCCAAGCACTTGGGCCATCCTCCACTGCACTTCCCGGGCCACAGCAGAGAGCTGGCCTGGAAGAGGGGCAACCAGGACAGAATCTGGCACCCTAACAGGGACTAGAACCCGGTGTGCCGACGCCGCAAGGCAGAGGATTAGCCTAGTGAGCCGCGGCGCCGGCCCCAATAAAATCTTTTTAAAAAATTTAAAAAATTTTTTAAAAATCTTTTTAAAAAATTCTGACAGCATCAGAAGCCATGTGGAAACCCTGAAAATTGTCATTAGTCCTAGGCCAGATCATGACAATAGAATTATTTTAATTTAAGACTTGGGACCTAAGTATGAATCATTACAAGCATCCATTATCTTTTGCATACAGCCATTGGTGGAAAATCAGGTAATGATTGGCAATTTGAATTCATGACAATAAGAATGGTATTTTTTTTTTTTTTTTTAAGATCTACTTATTCACTTGAAAGAGTTACACAGAAAAAGAAGAAGAGGCAGAGAGAGAGAGAGAGGTCTTCCAACCACTGGTTCACTCCCCAGATGGCTGCAACAACTGGAGCTGCGCCGATCCGAAGCCAGGAGCCAGGAGCTTCTTCTGGGTCTCCCACGCAGGTGCAGGGGCCCAAAGTCTTGAGCCATCTTCTACTGCTTTCCCAGGCCATAGCAGAGAGCTGGATCAGAAGTGGAGCAGCTAGGACTTGAACCAGCACCCAGGAGGTGGCCTTTAACCGCTATGTCACAGAGCCAGCCCCAGAGTGGTACATTTTAGTCATATCAATGGGTGTAAATTATATTTTTATTATCAGTAATTTTATGAAACACCCATGTTAACTGGATACTTTCACTGCAAAGAATGATTTCCAGTTTAGCAAATTGTATTTTATATATTAAGTTTATATATTCTTCTCTTCAAGAAATTGAACTTTCTTCTCTACCTTTCTCCATAAAAATTGGTTTCCCATTCTGCCAACAGGTTACTGAATTTTCTCTTGATGTTTAGCTCACTTTAGCTACCGCTTATTTGTCATTTCAGGTTCAAAACCATGTTGAGGGGAAACATCCACCCAGCCTGGCCTCCATGATCCTTTGGTACTCCTGACAGAGCAACAGATGGATCTTTAGTGAATGACTTTGATAAAGGCCCTGTATTCAAATCTGGAAAGGGATTGAACCCTGGTGCATGATGGATGTGGGTTCCACAGGGACTGTGGATGTTGTGTCCATCACCAACTGATGTCCTGAGCAGACGAATGCAGCTGTGGTTCTGATTGGATGCTCTCCTGCTCAGATCAGCAAGACAAACTCCAAGTAAGGACTGAAACATTGAGCTTAGATACCATCAAATGAATAACTCATGAAGTTTTCCTATCACTTTATGCCCATCCACCAGTTCTCATCTCTACTTACAGTTTGAAGAATTAAGTCTAGGCAATTTTCTTGACATTTCTGTTATCTGGATATACAGAAATATACCATTCTCAAATGAACATTTAATGTATTCATTAAGTTGGTCTTTCAGTTTGCTAAAATGGAACTCTTCCTTGCAGTAAAAGTATCAAGTTAATATGGGTATTTAATAAAATTAACTGGTAATTTGAAATAGTCAATCTAGTCAAAAATTACCCAAGTAGTTTGTACCATGCTATTAATTTCAACATGTTTTCTAATTAGAAAATAAATATGTAGTGCCAGCTTTAGATGTAAGCTACATATAACAATTCAGTGTACTCAGTTTTATCAACCATAATGTTAACTTTTCACATATTATGACCTCTAACAATATAAGGAATATAGACTTGGCTGTTGGGGCCATTTGGGGAGTAACCCAGTTGACGAGAGATCTGTCTCTCAGTTTCTTCCTCTGTCACTCTGCCTTTTAAGTAAATAAATCTTTAAAAATAAAAATAAGGGGCCAGTGTTGTATCATAGCAGGTAAAGCTACCACTTACAACGCTGGCATCCTGCATGAGCACCAGTTTATGTCCCAGCTGCTTCACTTCTGATCCAGTTTCCTGCTGATGTACTTGGGAAAAGTAGCAGAAGATGACCCATGTGTTTGGATCACTGCCACACATGTGGGAAACCCAGAAGCCCCTAGCTCCTGAATTCAGCCTGGCCCAACCTTGATCATTGCAGCCATCTGGGGAGTGAACCAGTGGATGGAAGATCTCTGCCTCTCTGTCGCTCACTCTTTCTCTGTAACACTTTCAGATAAATACATTTTTTAAATTACACAAAAAATAAATAAATAAAAGCATAGCACAGGAACTGGCATTGTGGCTCAGCAGGTTTAGCCCTACTTGTGATGCTGGCATCCCATATCAGTGCCAGTTCAAGTCCCCAATGCTCCACTTCTGATCCAGATCCCTGCTAATGCTCCTGGGAAGGCAGTAGATGATGGCCCAAGGACATGGGTCCCTGCCACCTGTGTGGGAGACCAGGATGGAGCTCCAGGCTGGCCCACCCCATTTGGGGCCATTTGAGTAGTGAAACAGCAGATGGAAGATTTCTCTCTCTCTCTCTCTCTCTCTCTCTCTCTCTCTCTCTCTCTTTCTCCTTCTCTCTCTGATGCTGTTTCAAATAAATAAATCTTTCTAAAAAGTAAATTAATACAGTCATGTACGGTACATAATATATCAATTATAATAATGACTGTTACTGGTTTGTATATTTATTATATGACACTTCTTATTGCTATTTTTCTGCATGATGCTTTTTTTAAAAAAAAAGTTTATTTATATTTATTTGGAAGACAGAGTGACAGAGGGAGAGACAGACAGAGATCTTCCATCCACGGTTCACTCCTCAAATGGCTCCAACAGCCTAGATTAGACCATGCCAAAGCCAGCAGCCTGTACTTCATCCTTGTCTCCCACAGGCAGTGCAAGGGCTCTAGTACTTGGGCCATCCTCTGCTGCCTTCTGAGGGAGGTGGATCAGAAGTGGAACAGCCAGGACTGAAACCAGCACTCTGATAAGGGATTCCAGCCTCAGAAGCAGCAGCTTGACCTGCTGTGCCACCAACACCAGTCCCAAAAGTACTCCTTCTACTTACTTTTTTTAGAAATTAGCTATTAAACAACCTCAGGCAGATCCTCCAGAAGATATGCCAGAATAAAGCATTATTATGATAGGGCACCAGAATTCCATGTGCATTATCACCTCTGAAAGCTTTCCAGTGAGGCACAATGTAGAAGTGAAAGACAGTGATATTGATGAAGCTGACCCCGTGACGACCTGGGCTAATGTGTGTTTATGTCCCTGCTTTTACAAAAATGTTTTAAAAGTAAGAAAAAAAATTAATGGAAAAAATTTATTGAGTAATGATATGAAAGAAACAATTTTTACTGTTGTACAATGTGTTTGTACTTTGAGCTAAGCTGTTTCAAGAGTCAGAAAATTAGACGAATTTAAAAGTTTACAAGGTTAAAAAAGTTACAGTAAGCTGCAATTAATTTATTATTGAAAAAAGAAAAAATGTGTTTTAGAATTTAGTGTAGCCTGAGTGTAGTGTTTATGGAGTCTACAGTGGTGGTCAAGAATGTGCTAGGTCTTCACTTTCATTCACCTGTCACTCACTGGCCCACTCAGAGAAACTTCCATTTTTGTAGGCTCCATTCGTGGGGAGTGCCCTAGGGAGAAGTAGTATTTTTTTTATCTTTTATGCCCTAGTCTCCTTATATCTTTTCTATATTTAGATATTCAAATACTTAGGATTATGTTACAGTCACCCATAGGATTCAGTACAGTACATGCTCTACAGGTTTGTAGCTTAGGAGCAATGGGCTCCATATAGTGTAGGTGTATAGTAGGCTATGCCACCTAGGTTACATTAGTAATATTCTATGATGTTCGCACTGCAACAAAATCACCTAATCTTGCATCTCTCAGATTCATTTCCAGTTGTTAAGTGGCAGCTGTCTAACAATCCCTGCTTCAGCCCTTTCTGAGAACATAGGAACACTGTTAAAAATGGGGGCTTGGGAAGGAGGGAAAAGAAGACATCGCTCAAGGCTGGAATAGGGTTTCTCTTGGAATAGGGGAGGGGGAGGGGGAGAATGCAGGATAGTAGTACACCAAGGAAAGAAGCAAGCCTGTTAGCTCAGTGAGCAGCTTTACCATTTACCCAGCTGAGCTTATCAGGAGTTGCCCTTGATTATTCCCTCTCAATAATGTTCCAAGTCCAATCAAATATTGTGTGCCATTCATTTTATCTTTTAGATGTCTCTGGAACCCATCAGCATTCATCTAGACCTTACTGGAACTCTTAACTCACACAAACAGACACACACAAAAACCCCTGGTGAGGTTCCTGCTCCCAGCCTGCCTATCTCTGGAACATTCCTTCCATGGCAGCATAAGTAGTCTTTTTATGTTTTTTTTTAAGGTTTATTTATTTTTTTGAAAGTTAAGTTAGAGAGGGGGAAACACAGAAAGATCTTTCATCTTTTCATCTCCACATGGCCACGAAGGCCAGCACTGGGCCAGGCTAAAGCTAGAAGCCAGGAGCTTCATCCAACCCAAGCATTTGGGCCATCTGCTGCTTTTCCCAGGCCATTAGCAGGGAGGTGGATCAGAAGTGGACCAGTCAGGACATGAACCAGTGCCTATATGGAATGTTGGCATCTCAGGTAGTGGCTTTACCAATTGTACCACCTAGCCCCATAAGTGGTCTTTTCAAAATTCAACTGATCACATCCCTTTCTTGGCTCAGTGGGCAAAACCCCAAGTCCTTAATAGCCTTCAGGAAACTCCAAGGCCTGTCCTTGCCTACCGCTAGCTCTCTGCACTCCAGCCATGCTTGTGTGCATGCCATACCCCTCTACCTCTGGCTCTTGACACAAACTACCTCCCGGTGCATTGTGCCCTTCCTTTCTTTCTGTTAATTTAATACTCATTTATCCTTCAGGGCTTGGCTTAAAGGACAATGTCTCAGGGAAGCTTCCTCGACTTTGTAGAATAGGTTATGTCAATCTGTCATGTGTGCCCATAGCCTTCTGCACTTTTTTCATTGTTGAATTTAGTTATTCGTAGTTACTTGTTTTATGTTTGGCTTCCCCATTAGTATGCATTTTCCATGAGGACATTGACGCATGTATGTCCTGTACGGCTATATCTCCAGTATCTTGACAATGCCCAATGCATAGTCAAGTCTCAATAAATAGGTGCTGAGTGGGCAACTGAAAAGCTGAGTGACTTTTCCTAGGTAGGGATTCTATTTCCATGCGCAGGTAAAATCCAAGTGTTTGTGCTTTCTGTAAGCCTTTTGACCTTTATTTTCCATTTCACAAAACGTGTTATGTGTATAATATACTGTCCCCTTCCTCTTTTCCCTCTTCCCAGTGATGTGTCACAAATTGATGTGTTTTTATTGGGTGAGGCCCAGGTAATCTCCCTGTTTATAGCTCTGACCTTTCTATGCTCAAACACACAAAGTGAACTTTGGTTTATCTCTGACCATAATGTAGCTGCTAATTGCTGGCAGGCAGGCTGTATTGCACAGCCCACGTGACCAGTGGGGCATGACCAGAAAGGAGCAGGGAAAGAGTAGACGGAGGGACTTGGTTAGAAGCTGTCCAGCTGCAGTCCCTGCCTCCCTAGACGCCCACAGCAGAGCACAAGAAGTATGGTTTTGAGGTGAGCGTGGTCATGAAGACACTGCTGTTGGGCCTGGTTTTGTGGTCACTGCTCTTCCAGCTCGGTCTGATGTTCTGGGCTACTCAAGTGAGTCAGAAGTGCCACAGTGGCAACTATGAAATCAGTGTCCTGATGATGAACAACTCAGCTTTCCCAGAGTCCCTGGACAACTTGAAGGAAGCAGTGATTGAGGGCATGGACATAGTGAGGCAGCGTCTGCATGAAGCTGGTAAGAACATGGTCAAAGACTCTCTCTCTGCTGTTGTCTCCTCTAGGGACAGGGGTCCCTAAGCCCAACCTTCTCTATGATCTATCTCAGAGCTCTCTTCTGTTTCAAGGCAGTAGATCCTCAGAGAAATGGATTTGAACACTACTATTTTGTACTCCCAATCCACCCTGTTCTGGAAACGTAAAGTATTCTCAGCAGTAAAATACCCTAGTTAAAACTGGGTTTATTGCCTGGTTCCTGGACAACATCATATTTCCTTCCACAGCTGCTCAGAGGCAAGAATTGGTCTGGACCTGAGATTTCACAGGGTTGCCAGCCAAGATGAATTAAGAGAGTACAATGCATACAGGCACTGAGTCTTTCTCTGAGCTTTCCATCCAGGGAAAGACATTTTTCTATTGGCCTGTTCCCTCTTTATGTCTCTGGAGGCTGTCCTTGTCAAATATGGTCAACTAGGCCAGCGCCGCGGCTCAATAGGCTTATCCTCCGCCTGTGGCACCGGCACCCCAGGTTCTAGTCCTGGTCGGGGCGCCGGTTCTGTCCCAGTTGCTCCTCTTCCAGTCCAGCTCTCTGCTGTGGCCCGGGAAGGCAGTGGAGGATGGCCCAAGTGCTTGGGCCCTGCACCCTCATGGGAGACCAGGAGAAAGCACCTGGCTCCTGGCTTCGGATCGGTGCAGCGTGCTGGCTGCAGTGCACCAGCTGTAGTGGCCATTTGGGGGGTGAACCAACGGAAAAAAGGAAGACCTTTCTCTCTGTCTCTCTCTCACTGTCCACTCTGCCTGTCCAAAAAAAAAATATGGATGGTCAACTATAATAATTTTGCAATCAAATCCATTGTTGGAGCTCCTCATTGTGTCTTTTAATTTTAAACTTGGTAACATTGCATAACATATGAGGGGTCTTCAAAAAGTTCATGAAAATGTATATTATGAAAACTTATGCATGGATTTAAAAAACTTTTTGTATCAAAATAAACATCTTTTAATTCCATTTCAAGAAATTTTTGAAAAAGAAAAGAAGTTATGTCTGATAATTTGTGGTCACCTGGATGTTTCCAGTCTCTTTTCACCTGTTTCTTAGTCTCCTGGATGTAAGAATATGGTGGGTGAGCTGGCATACAATTTTGAATCCTTCTGGTTCACTTTACATTATTCTACTATCCCTGGGAATAAATATTGCCCAAATTACCTAATAATTCGATATTCTGGAATATTTCTAATAGTTGTTTCTACTAGAATTTTTTTTGCCATGATTCTGTTTATAACACTACAGCAAATGTTTTCATGTATATAGTTTTTCTCCATTGCCTGAGACTAAATTGTTAGGAAGAGAATAGCTGAGTATTCAATCTACCTTAATTAAGGATGGTTTTCAAAATGACTTAATTTTCTCTATTGAAAATCCTGTGGAAATAAGAATAACAGATCAATAACTTAGTTCTGTGCATAAACAAGATCTCCAATTATCTCTGAAACTAAATTCAGATAAGAGGAAGTAGATCTTGGGGCCGGCGCTGTGGCACAGTGGGTTAACACCCTGGCCTGAAGCGCCGGCATCCCATATGGGCGCCGGTTTGAGTCCTGGCTGCTCCTCTTTCATCCAGCTCTCTGCTATGGTCTGGGAAAGCAGTAGAAGATGGCCCAAGTCCTTGGGCCACTGCACCCACGTGGGAGACCAGGAGGAAGCTCCTGGCTCCTGGCTTCGGATTAGCTCGGCTCCAGCTGTTGCGGCCATCTGGGGAGTGAACTAGTGGATGGAAGACCTCTCTCTCTGTCTCTACCTCTCTCTGTAATACTGTCTTTCAAATAAATAAAATAAATCTTTAAAAAAAAAAAAGGAAGTAGATCTGGTCTGGAGCTATGTCAGTGTTAGTGGAAAGAATGCTGAATTTGAAGTCTGTGGGCCTGGATTGAGGTCATTGTCCCAAATGTTTCTCTCCTTGGCACCCTGGGTAAGTTGGATTCCTTGAGTGTCAGTTTCCTTATTTATGAGTACCTGTCTTGTGTTAGGTAAGTTCTAGGTACTTTACTTACATGATCTATCTAGTCATCACAACTCTCTGTAGTTGGCATGCTTGACATTGACTTCAAAGTAGAACTTTAATAAGATTGCCAAGCTATTATAAGTTGTCTGTTTGAAATGAGATTCAAATCTTTATGTGCCTGATTCTAGAAAGCATATCATAGAGCCAGCATTGTGGTATAACAGGTAAAGCTGCCTCCTGTTATGTTGGCATCCCACATGGGCACTGGTTTGTGCCCTGGCTGATCCACTTCCCATCCAGTTCCCTGCTAATGGCCTGGAAAAAGCATCGGAGGTTGGTCTAAATATTGGGCTCCTGCCACCCACATAAGAAACCTGGAATAAGTTCCTGGCTTCAGCCTGGCTCAGCCCTGGCCACTGTAGCCATATGGGGAATGAACCAGCGTGTGGAAGATCCATATTCTCTCTCTCTCTGTCTCTCTTTCTCTGACCTTCAAATAAATAAATCATTTTAAAATATATTCCACTGTAAGAATTATTTAAAAGGTTTATTTATTTGAAAGGAAGAGTAGCAGACAGAGGGAAAAACAGAGATTGATCTTCCATCCACTGGTTCACTCCCCAAATGGCTGCAACAGATCTGGGCCCGGCTGGAGAACACACTGTCTAGCATAGTCCATAAATAGTGTAATGTGTTGTTTTACATCTTAGTCTCTAAATTCATGCAACTGGAATTTGAATTCCTGCTCTGTCATTTATTGGTCGAGTGACACTGGCAGAGTTATCATTTCTAAATTTCACTCATCTCACTTGTAAAATGACTTATTGTGAGGTTATTGAATAGATTAATAAGTGGAGAGTTCTATGGAGATGGGAGAATAAACAGTGATGCCCAGATTTTTCAACTTGGTAAAATAATTGGTGGGATGAGTTTTCATGCATAGTAAACACTATGAGAGAAAAGTTTTGAAGAGAAAGATTTTTCATGTTATAAACAGATTGAGGATTATATTTTGAGAAAAATTCTAAGCATGTCTCAGGGCTACATTGAAGACAATTAAGAATTCAAATTTGGGTTTTGTCCCAAAGACAGTAGCCAATATGTTTTTTTAGGACACAAGAAAGCTTTGTGTGTCTTGAAGAAACAACAAAATTTGGTGAAAAACTGTGGAAAGAAAAAAAGATTCCTTCAACTTTAGAATATGGCCTCTGTGAGAATGTGAGATCTATGACTGAATGCATGGTCTATACCCTGAGAGTGCCCCCATGTGCTGAGGGTCCTTCCACCAGACCGCAGCAAGTAGACCTCAGCTTCATGTTGTCCAACTCATCCTCAAAGCCTTTGACAGGAAATAGGGTTCTGATAGCACCCTATTCTCAGCAGTTTCCCACCCATCTTCCCAGGATGTTACTGAGTTATTACAGTGGGGAAGGGGGTGCAGGCAGGAGGATGAGGACGCAAAGCAGCACCTGGAGGAAACACTTTCAAAGCTAAACTTTGGCTTGAAATTACCTCCTTGACTGGAAAATGTTCAGTGTTCTCTTGAGAAATCACTTGGGATTGGGAGAGATAAAAGAGAAAATAGTCTCCCCACTAAATTTAAAAATATGTTTAACTGGGGCCGGCGCTGTGGCGCAGCAGGTTAAGGCCCTGGCCTGAGGTGCCAGCATCCCATATGGACACTGGTTCGAGACCCGGTCACTCCACTTCCCATCCAGCTCTCTGCTATGGCCTGGGAAAGCAGTGGAGGATGGACCAGATCCTTGGGCCCCTGAACCCATATGGGAAACCCTGAGGAAGCTCCTGGCTCCTGGCTTTCGATCGGCTCAGTTCCGGCCGTTGCAGTCAATTGGGGAGTGAACCAGCGGATGGAGGACAGACTCTCTCTCTCTCTCTTTCTCTGCCTCTCCTCTGTGTAACTCTGACTTTCAAATAAATAAATAAATCTTTAAAAAATGTATAACCATAAAATATAGAGAGATAGCATATTACAATGTGGTCCACAAAAGTGGCTCTCAAACCTTGTTGTGTCAAGACCTCTTTTCACTCTGAAAAATTATTGATGGCCTGAAGATTTTTGTTTATTGGTTATAAACATACATATTTATTGTGTTAAAATTTAAACAGAAATATTTAAGCACTTTTTTTTTTGAGATTTAGAAGTATTTAGTAGAATCAAGGACCTCCAGCTGGAATGGCATGAAGGGGGGCTTCCAAGGGAGGAAAGAACCCAAAAGGTCCCATAGCTTTCAGGGTTTTTAAGTACAATTTGGAAGGAAAAAAAAAACTTGACAGATTGGTGTTCAGTTACCAGGTGGGGACAAAAACCCATCAAAAGGCCTGATTTACAATTCTCCATCCTGTCTGGCCTGCGAAGGGGAGTGGATAACTTTTTTTCACAATAAGTTGTGAGCTCAGGAAGAACTCCCTTGCTACTCTCACGGTAAATTTGGAGATTCAGAAGGAAGAAGGGCAGCCTGTTTGTTCTTTCTAAAAATAATGTTTTGGGAAAGGAAGCAAATATTTTACACCCTAAATTCCTTTGGAACCCCTGACTACCTATTAACCCATCTGACTCCTCACATTCCCACCTCCTGAGGATTGAAACCCTAACTTCTGTTGGGGGAACTGGGCGATGATTGCTCTGGCTGCTTCGTGCTACAAAGGGGCATCTTTGGGAAGGGGAGTCAAGACAGGGTTCCAGCAGGAGAAGGCTTCTCAGCAGGAGGTGGCTTCTCCAGGGGGATGCAGTGCCAGCTTTCAGAAACTGCTTCCGTGGGAGGTTTCATGCATTGCCACCTAGAATTCTGCTTTTTTTAAGTCTAGAGAAAATGAAAATGACAAACAGTTTAAACTCACAAGGTCTAGAATCACAGGATCTAAAATGGAGGACACAGTCATTATTAGATGCCCTAAGAAAGGAGTCTAAACCATGAGCAAATTTTTTTTTCATTGAGAAGCAAATAGAAATTGACAGAAAGGGCTTGAGAATAATCAGGTGGGCTTTAAAGTTTTG